ACACAAGGTACGAGATGTACATGCGGATTGTTGACATGAGGAACTGTCTTATTCCTGACCCAGATGAGGGGTCGAGCCACATAGCAGTGGCGGGAGCGTCACAAGAAGTAGATGACTAGACGATCGTTTCTCCTACTTTAAAATGCATGCAATTGTTTATTGAGGTGTGTGCAAATGATCTGCATAGTCACTTATGTAATTAGATGTTTATTTCAGTTATATATATACATGTTATTCCACTGTAGACAGAGCAAATCACATGGCTTATTGGCATCAATCGTCCATATTATTATTGGTCTTCGCACACATTTCTGATTACGGACCTGTTTGCCGCATACCACACACATCTTATTCAGTTGAACCATTTCCATTGTGTTGCCTAATCACACACAATGCATCCTAGTGAACCGTATGCTATATATCGCACACGCCTTCATCTGGCTGCCCGTTTCTTTTGTTCCTCTTCATCCCAAACAGTTAATTGAACTGAACCGTATGCCCTGCATCGCACATGCAACTAATATCTGAACCGTGTTTGATGCACCCGTCATCGCAAACATTTTGCACCTTTTTGACGGTTTTTTACACCACTGTTTGCGATTATGGCATCGCACACAGTTTTGTTGAAGGGTCTCTGATCGTAGTGTCGCGTTTGGACCATCCTGGAGTAGTGCATGTGCCAATTCTTTCAATAAAGATTCTATATGTGACGCCTATCAAAAAGGAAAAAGTGACCAGTTGCCTTATCCTAAGTCAATAAGTGAATCAAAGTTTCCTTTAGAACTTGTGTTTTCCGATGTTTGGGGTCCTACTGTTGAAACATTAGGAAGAAAGAAATACTATGTGAGTTTCATCGACAATTTCAGTAAATTCACATGGATATATTTAATCAAACACAAGTCTGAAGTCTTCCAAAAGTTCCATGACTTTCATAATCTAGTAGAACGACAATTTAATCGCAAGATTCTTGCTCTACAAACAGATTGGGAAGGGGAGTACGAAAAATTAAACTCCTTCTTCACCAAGATAGGCATATCTCACCATGTCTCGTGCCCTCACACTCACCAACAAAATGGGTCAGCCGAGAGAAAACATCGACACATTGTCGAAGTAGGTTTATCGCTTCTTGCTCAAGCCCCCGTGCCCCTAAAATTTTGGAATGAGGCTTTCATTGCTGCCACCTATTTGATAAACCGATTTCCTGGCAAGGTCATCAACTTTGAGACACCTTTTAAGAAATTATTTTATGAAAAACCCAACTATTCTATTCTTCGAATCTTTGGGTGTGCCTGTTGGCCACCCATAATAATCACAAGCTTCAATTCCGGTCTAAGAAATGTGTTTTTCTTGGGTATAGCAATCTACACAAAGGTTTTAAATGCCTTGACATATCTGCTGGACGTGTTTATATCTCCAGAGATGTTATTTTTGATGAAAATATTTTTCCCTTTGCTAGTCTTCATCCAAATGCCGGCGCTCGTCTACGTGCTGAAATTCTATTGCTTCCTCCGGAGTTATTAAATCCTTCTGATCATGGGGTGAGTATTCTGTTGATGATCATGTGTTCAATAATCCTAATCCTACTACTAATGGAGACTGCGCTGAGAAAAACAGTGAAAAAAAAACAACACTCCAAATCATGATTTTATGCAGCGTATAAGTCCAAACTGGACTGACATGAGAACCGAGGTGGATCTTGTTGCGGCGCCCGATCCCGAGAGATCTGTAGTGGCGCAGAACCTGACACAGGCACATCCGAATCCCCCGACATCGCTAGGCGCTGGATCAGTGGGAAACCGTCTGCGCGTGACACGCGGCGCGGGTCGCTTGTGCGGGGCGGTGGAACCAATGTGGGTGCGTCCTCCACCGACAGCTGACAGCAATCGACTGGGCCTGGGTCGCCATCTACCATAGGTAATGATGGTGCACGGTCCTCCGTGCGCCTGTCGCTTGCGCCAGATTCGGTGGTCCCATCTCGGGCACGCAATCCTATGCTTGACTGAACGACAGCCGAGGAAAATCCTCTGGCGCGATCTACTGCAGTACGAGGTGGTGGATCTTCTGCGCCGGCTGCTGGATATTCTACGGCTACAATTTTTGAACACCCAAATACACGTGCACAACGAGGTATATTCAAGCCCATGGTTCCTATGGATGAAACCGTCAGGTATGATAAGAATTTTAAAGTTGTAAACTTTGCTGCCACTCAAGAACCTCGTGATCCAGTAGAAGCTTTGCAAGATAAAAACTGGAAAAATGCTATGGAAGTAGAGTATGATGCACTTATGAAAAATAAAACCTGGCATCTAGTTCCACCTAGGCTAGGTAGAAATATTATAGATTGTAAGTGGGTGTATAAAATCAAAAGAAAACCTGATGGGACTATAGATGGGTACAAGGCTAGATTAGTGGCTAAAGGCTTTAAGCAATGCTATGACATTGATTATGAGGATACGTTTAGTCCAGTTGTTAAAGCAGCCACTATCAGGCTGGCTTTGTCTATTGTTGTGTCTAGGGGATGGAGTCTCCACCAACTGGATGTACAGAATGCATTCTACATGGCGTTCTCGAGGAAGAGGTTTATATGCGACAACCACCTGGCTTTGTGGATGATACTAAACCACAACATGTGTGTAGGTTGGATAAAGCTTTATATGGGTTGAAACGGGCACCCAGGGCTTGGTACCCAAGATCGAATACAAAGCTACAACAACTTAGTTTACGACCTTCAAAGGGAGACACCTCCTTGTTCTATTTCAAGAAAGGGAAGGTGATCATTTTTATGCTCATTTATGTAGATGACATAATTGTTGTTAGTTCCTCTCAAGAAGCCACCTCAGCTTTGCTTAAGAACGTGAAAAGTGAATTTGCTTTAAAGGACTTGGGAGAGTTTCACTATTTCCTAGGCATTGAAGTAAAAAAGACACATGGCGGTATTCTGCTAACTCAAGAAAAGTATGCAAAAGAGATTCTTAAACATGTAGGGATGAAAGATTGTAAACCCTCTAGCACACCTCTGTCTACTACTGAACACTTGTCATTACATGAAGGAGAATTGCTAAGTCCGGAGGAAGGGACAAAGTACAGAAGTGTAGTTGGGGCACTACTGTACTTAACCTTAACAAGACCTGATATAGCTTTCTCTGTTAATAAGGTCTGTTAATTTTTACATTCTCCTACATCTCTGCATTGGAAAACTGTAAAAAGGATATTGAGGTATATCCAAGGAAATGCTGGAACTGGCCTGAAAATATGCAAGTCATCATAAAAAACAGTAAGTGCCTTCTCTGATGCAGATTGGGCAGGATGCCCTCATGACAGAAGGTCTACTAGTGGGTTTGTTGTTTTCTTTGGTTCTAATCTTGTGTCTTGGAATGCAAAGAAGCAAGCCACACTCTCGCGCTCTAGCACTGAAGCAGAATACAAGTCTTTGGCAAATGCAATAGGTGAGGTAATGTGGGTAGAAACCCTATTAGATGAATTGGAAATTGCAAGACCACGTGTCTCTTGCTTATGGTGTGATAATTTGAGAGCAACTTATCTTTCTGCAAATCCTGTGTTTCATGCAAGAACAAAGCATATAGAAATTGATTTTCACTTTGTTCGTGAACGAGTTGCAAAGAAACTCTTGTACATTAGATTTATTCCAACAGGAGATCAAGTTGCTGATGGCTTCACAAAGCCCCTACAAGCTCGACAACTTCAAGCCTTCAAGAACAATCTCAACCTTGACGTGTTTAGATTGAGGGAGGATGTTAAATGATAGGCTTGTTTAGGTGTGTAACGTGACATGTATGTCGCAATGTATTGTGTGCGTGTTGTGTTGTATGTAGGCAAGTTGCTAGACTAGATAGATCCTATCTCTTATATAGCTTGGAGTATGGGTCAAGTCTAGAAACAAACTTGCTGCACCATGTAATCTATTGATCTATTTAACACGCATGCGTCCCTGCGATGATGCATACGCTTCCACATCTCTAGTTCTTTCACCAAGAGACATACACACTCGTTTAATAGTAGGGATTTTGTAAGATTTGATTTGATTATGCGTAGGGCGAAGCAAAGTAAGTTTAGATTTACTTGAGGATTTGATAAGGTTTGATTTGATTTGGGTGTGTGTAAGAGAAGACAAGAAAAAGTGTGATTTTGTTGAGTTGGTAAGATTTGATTTAATTGAGTTGATGCAGTACGTGATATTGGGCGGAGGGATGAATCCTGAGTCGCAAACGATGTACGTATTCTCTTGAATAATAGAGATTTGTAAGATTTGATTTGATTTGAGTATGAGTAGAGAGATTAAAAAAAGTTTTGACTTAGTTATGGTTGGTAAGATTTAATTTGGGTATGGACAGTGCAAGATCAGACCAATTTAAATTTAGTTGGGGTTTTGATAAGATTTTATATTTGATTAAGTTAATGTGTTTTGGATGGAGGGACAAAAGTTAAGTCTAAACAATGTCCAGACTCCTCTTTAATGATAGAGATATAATGATAGAGATGTAGATATAGATACAGACAGGGAAGATAAAGATAGAGATTTAGCAGCACGATCATACTGGAATTAGTGAAACATTTCCTTAGATTTCTTCTTTGTCTCCTTGTGAGCTGCGTACGGCTCCCGAAACGTGGCTGTAATAGTGAGGACGGAATCCGGGGCCAAACGCTCTACTCCGTCACACCAGCTTAGCCAAATGGCCCGGGGAGACGGCGCTGCGGACCGTCGGCGGGTCATCGGCCATGGTTCCGTCGACGACGATGGCAAGCCCAAGAGAACAGGCAAGAAACACAGATCCGACTCTCTATTTCATTGTTCCCATGCACGCGTTCATTCTTGGTGCAGATCAATCTAGCATCTCTGCTCGAAACTACTGCACTAGTTATCTTCGACTAAATCGTGCGGTCGGCTTCGCGGTTGAGCTTGAGCAGGAACGGTGTGGACGGCGAGCGCGCACATCATAACGGGGGTGATCGGCTCCGGCGTGCTGTCCCTGCCCTGGTCCATGGCGCAGCTCGGCTGGGTCGCCGGGTCGATCACGCTTTTCCTCTTCGCCGCCGTCACGTACTACACCTCCGCGCTCCTCGCCGACTGCTACCGCAGCGACGACGCCGTCACCGGGAAGAGGAACTACACCTACATGGAGGCCGTCCAGTCCTACCTAGGTACCGCATGCCTGTAGCGTGAACATCAAACCAGTAAATTCTCTGTGAATTCAGGCAATGTTTACACTGCTATGTACCTTGACCTGCAAATGTAGGTAGCAGGCAGGTGTGGTTTTGTGGCCTCTGCCAGTACGTCAATCTCGTTGGAACTGCAATTGGGTACACCATCACAGCATCGATCAGTGCCGCGTAAGCCACCGACTTAACTCACCCATGCAATTTTGAGCTAAGTTATGTCACTTTCGATCTCCTGAACTCCTTGTTTGTTCGTCTGGTGGGTTGATCAAATAGGGCTTTGTACAAGGCCGACTGCTTCCACAAGAACGGCCACTCTGCCGACTGCGGCGTGTACACCACCATGTACATGGCCGTGTTTGGGATCTCCCAGATCGTCTTCTCGCAGCTCCCCAACCTCCACGAGATAGCCTGGCTGTCCATCCTCGCCGCGGTCATGTCCTTCTCCTACTCCGCGATCGGCGTTGGCCTCGCCTTGGCACAGACCATATCAGGTAGAGAATCAAGAGGGTCATGTTTCTGGTTCGTCATAACAGACTTTGTATTTCCGTTAAGCAATTAAGAATTGATGAAAAGGGGGGAAGCCCGGTTGAAAAAAGGTAGCTTAGATGTGACATCCTTAAAGAACATCTAGATGTGAATTAGACAAACTGAAAAAGGTATAGAATCAAGAACATTCCTACCAAGAGATCAATGCGTTAATGCACTCCCTATTCCCTGATGTAATTATGGCAGGTCCTACTGGCAAGACAACAATGGGCGGCACTGAAATTGGGGTAGACGTCACTAATTCGGCCCAGAAGATATGGTTGACGCTGCAAGCGCTCGGCAACATTGCATTCGCCTACTCATACTCCATGGTTCTCATAGAAATTCAGGCATGCATGTCACAAAGATTCACATACACGTTTGGCAAAAAGAACTCGTAAATTACGGTCACTAATGGCGTGTAACTGGAAATGCAGGACACGGTGAAGGCGCCTCCGGCCGAGAACAAGACGATGAGGAGGGCAAACCTATTGGGGGTCTCCACCACCACGGCCTTCTACATGCTCTGCGGCTGCCTCGGCTACGCCGCCTTCGGCAACGCGGCGCCGGGGAACATGCTCACCGGGTTCGGCTTCTACGAGCCCTTCTGGCTCATCGACTTCGCCAACATCTGCATCGTCGTGCACCTCATCGGTGCCTACCAGCTCTACTGCCAGCCCATCTACGCCGCCGTGGAGAGCTGGGCTGCGGCGCGGTGGCCGGGCTCAGACTTCGTGGTCCGCCAGTACCGTCCCTTCGCCGGTGGCAATTTCAGCGTCAGCATGTTCAAGCTGGTGTGGAGAACGGCGTTCGTCGCCGTAAGCACGGTCCTTGCCATTTTGATGCCCTTCTTCAATGCCATCCTTGGCCTCCTTGGCGCGCTCGCATTCTGGCCGCTCACAGTGTACTTCCCCGTGGAGATGTACAAACGTCAGAGCAAAGTGGAGAGGTTTTCCAAGAAGTGGGTGGTGCTGCAGAGCCTGAGCTTCACGTGCTTTGCGGTGACGGTGGCAGTGACCGTCGCATCCGTGCAGGGGATCACCCAATCACTCAACAACTATGTGCCATTCAAGACGAAGCTGTGAATGAAATCCACCTTTTAAGTCAATAAAATCCACCTTTTAAGTCAATAAAATCCACCCTTTGTCGAAAAAAACGAAGTTGTTAGCTATGCAAAGACCGGGTGTGTGCTTATTGTGTTTGTATCTACTTGATACTTCATTTTGAGTCAATAAAATTCAAAAAACTTTTGTATACGGCGCGCCGGCCGAAGATTCGGCCGGTCAAGCGCGACTCGTGCGATTTATTTTCATCGTCTGGCTAGCAGTGCATACGGTCTCTCCCGTGCGGTTGGGTGCGTGACTGACAGGGTCCAATCCAACCGCTCAGTATCTTGCCTTATCCTTTCACGGACGTTTGCATCCATTCATTTTTCTCGCTGACGACGGAAAGGATTCCCCTCCCGTGTTCCCTCACTTCCCCGATCGCATATGCTACCATCGATGCCGGTGAGGTCGCCGGCCCTCATCTTCGTCTGCAACTTGTGCCTGCGAGCTCCCACCATCAAGCGCATCCAGCAGGTCGTGCTGCAACCCATGGCCATGTCCTTTGCATCTCCGGCGACCCCCGGCTTCAGTTAAATCTCCCATGTCGCCGGTGGAAGATCTTCAGCGTCTTGGACTGCCCACATGGTTGTAGCTTTTTGGATCCCGTTAGCAGCTGTCTTCTTAAACAGTTGCATCTTTTCTATATCACTTTAGTTCCAGCTTTTGTCCAAATCGATATTTTTTTGCATCTTTTTTCTGAAACCACCGGTTCCAGCTTCCCAAATCACCGGTTATATCCTTTTATTCTGCCGGTTGCAATTTTTTTGGAATTTTCCATTACAAGTTCAAAATCAATGGTTGCAGCTCTTTGCCAAGCCGATTGCATCTTTTCTAATCACCAGTTCCAGCATTTTTATTCACCGGTTCCAGCTTCTGTTCAGCTCGTCGCATCTCTTTTGATCGTCGATAGTAGCTTTCCCAATCGCCGATTGCAGCTTTTTGACAAGCCGATTGCATCTTTTCCAACACCGGTTCCATCATTTTTCAATCGCTGGTTCCAGCTTCTGTGTCAGCTCATTGCATCTTTTTTAATCACCGGTAGTAGCTTTTCGAATCGCTGGTTGCAACTTTTGTTTCAGCTGGTTGCATCATTCTAAATCGTCGTTGCCAGCTTTTAAAAATGTCGCCGGTTGCAACTCGCCGGCCATCGTTTTTCTTGCTACATGACCCGGTGGTGCTAGAGCATTCCATGCGGGCACCTTTTTTTGCTGCAACTGCTCAGCCAAAGGTACAACTAGCACACGCGACATTGGAGCCGGTGCCTACTGACGGGCCTCCAGCGTTGCCTGTTGC